ACAACCACAGCTGCAGTTCCGAAACCAGGAAGGAAAAGGAATCATACTGGATACGCCGCCTTAGAACATTGAAACCAAACCTTCTAAACCAAGAAGACTAGAAAATGAAACTATACACTAGTAGAATTTAGCATTTTCTAAATCTTCTTATTATCCTTCAATTTTTACTATAAGAATAACCGGCATAAAATCCATTATCCGGGATATAATCTGCGTTACATAAATGTACAAAAAGTAAAAATAGATGTCGCTTTGGCCTGTAGACTTTTAGGGAATTATACACCGTTTTCAGTTTCCGCAACTAGTCTATACAAGCTGGTTGTATTTATAGTTTTAACACATGTGGAGACAGCCATGTAGAGGTTTACAAACAAAACGTTTTTGTGTTTATTTGTTTGTCGTATATATGTTTTGTATGTGCCTTTGAAAAAGACTCATTAAGAGTCGAAAGCGCTTAGGCTAGTTAGTTACTAGTTTCGTACTGTTCATCGTCAGTTTATTGCATATATATATATATATATATATATATATATATATATATATATATATATATATATATGCAGAGGGGGGAGAGGCATATGTGCAGATATGCATTCACAAATTTCAAATTACATCTTTCCTAAATCATGAGAGAGAGAGATATGGCCTTCGCCATACATACATACATACATACATACATACATACATACATACATACATACATACATACATACATACATACATACATACATACATACATACATACATACATACATACATACACAAAAATCAGAAAAAAATGTTACGTAATATATCTAGTAGTTGATAACGGTGTACATTTTGCAAAGTGAACTTTTACTGGATTGGCTGAATTGGGATTAAATGGGTAAGACGGAAGAACATGGGCTATCCAAACAGATTTTTTATTTTTTATTTTTATTTTATGAATACAGATCTGTTATGTCATTAAAAAGTTTTTCAACCCTATCTGGATAATGGAGTATCCGTATTTTTTCTTCACGTGCTACTGCTAATGCATCCACTCTTAAAACAGAACCGTCAAATGTTGCCTCTTAGAAACTATTAGATTATCTCGTACACACCCATCAAATGGACAGCCGCCGCCCGTTGTGCTCTTGAGAAAAGGCTCAAAGCTCTCATTTGCTAGATATAGTCAATATATCCATTAATTTTTTCTTCTTCTCAAAGTGCCATAAAACCAAAAAGATCCGCATAAATACATGATTATTCTGATTACATAATGGATACGAAGTTGCTTTGTTCGCACGTAATATAGGATATTATTTCCATCAAAAGATATGAAGTTCTGAAATTACACTGTTCAAGACGTACAAGAAATCAGCTCAAAAAACTCTGGACTGGCAAAACATGGCTTAAAAAGTCATCACAAAGATACACGTAAAGTAAGCATGCCATTGGGAATCAGCTGAAATATATGTCACATAACCGCGTAATATATGAATTGGAATCTTTTAGAACATTCTGGTACAGATATGTTTACCTTAAAGCGCTAAAAGTGTTGTTTTTTTTTCGCGCACCTCTCTCTCTGTATATATATATATATATATATATATATATATATATATATATATATATATATATATATATATATATATATATATATATATATATATATATATATATATATATATATATATATATATATAATACAAATCATATGGCGAATAACAACCCTTTCAAGCGCACTGGATCCACCATGGGATCACGTGTGTCAGGGATTGGTTAAGATAGATGCAATAAACTGACGACTAACAGTGCGAAACTAGTAACTAACTAGCCTGAGCGCTTTCGACTTTTAATGAAAAAGACTCCAAAAAGACTCATTAAGAGTCGAAAGCGCTCAGGCTAGTTAGTTACTAGTTTCCCACTTTTCGTCGTCAGTTTATTGCACACACACACACACACACACACACACACACACACACATATATATATATATATATATATATATATATATATATATATATATATATATATATATATATATATATATATATATATATATATATGCAGAGAGGTGAAGATGCAGATGTGCAGATATGCATTCACACGAAAGTGTCTTGTTTACACAACCAGAATTGTAGTTTCTGCACAACTCCACAGGTTTACATCATTTGTACACTGACAGTGTGTTTACATCATTACAAGTGTGTCTTTCTATATGTAAAACATTGACAGTTCATGACAGCTTATCTGTTCAAATTGAAGAAAGTCTCTAATCTGTAACCAACCAGTGCTTTTGTTGTTTTTTTTTAAAAATAAATAATTTTTTAATTTGACAGTAGTTTGCTATATGAGAGTACACTGAGCTGACTGTATGTCAAAAAAGTGCCAAGTGTTCTACTACAATAGGCCTAAAATGCTGTATCAAACGCAGGTGATAGGAATGGATACTAGTATCCAGAGAAAAAGGAATGGATACTAGTATCCATAGAAAAAGGAATGGATACTAGTATCCATAGAAAAAGGAATGGATACTAGTATCCATAGGAAAAGGAATGGATACTAGTATCCATAGAAAAAGGAATGGATACTAGTATCCATAGAAAAAGGAATGGATACTAGTATCCATAGAAAAAGGAATGGATACTAGTATCCATAGGAAAAGGAATGGATACTAGTATCCATAAAAAAGGAATGGATACTGGTATCCATAGGAAAAGGAATGGATACTAGTATCCATAGGAAAAGGAATGGATACTAGTATCCATAGGAAAAGGAATGGATACTAGTATCATATCTATACAGCTTATAAATATATGCTGTTGTCAATTACAGTATCTTGCAATATTAGCTTGATGCAAAATCAAATTACATTGCAGTATGAATATCAGAAATTAGAAAACTTCAAAATCATCCTTACAGCGGGATAAAACTAATTTTAACGGCACAGCTGTTCATATGTTAGCCGGTAATTACAAATGTATTTATTTCGTACGCATCGCAAAGTAGAAATGTATTATGTGCGCCTCACTTCCCATAAGAAAGAAACAAGTAAACAAACAAAAAAGACAATTTAAGTTACAAAAATAATTTGTAAAGATACTAATATGAATCAAAAAAATAATTTGCTCACAACAATCGATTTTTTTTTGTGTGTTATGAACGTGCAATAGAACAAATGAATCATCAGGGCATTAGTACTAACAGCAAGGAAAGAAAGTTTTAATCTCCATGTAAACTGATAATAATTGATCTTCCTGCATAGTGTTTGTTTCCCTAGAGTGTCATCAAATGATCTACATCATCTTTGTTGTGTTTGTGTTGTTACTACTGTTGTATTTTATTTTGTGTTGTTTTATTTCTTTCTTTTTTCTTATTGCTTTTTTATTTGATTTCAAGATGTCGGACTTGGTATACCAAGCAACGGTCGTTTCTAAGCAGAATTATAATATGAAAGGCATACATTAAGTCTCTTTTACCTCTCCAGTCAAAATATAGCGTCAATTGATTGTTTTAAACATGTGCTCTTCATATCAACTCTACAAATTTCTGTGTGTCTTTACGTTTTGGGTATCAAACGTTTTCCCACTTCATGCAACTTTATGTAATGTTCTCTCACGATTTTCAAGTAGGAAAATGATGAAGAGCTGAGAGTTACAGGAAATAAATTTTCGCTAGAGATTTTTAAGAATTTGAACAAAGGCTATTGGTGGTAACCTTATAAATCTAGAGTGGAAAATTAAATTAGGCACTTACATTCTATACTTATACAGGTTGGCAATATTTGTTTTTGTTTCTGTTGTTATTCCTTTATTTAATATAATCATCTGTATGGCAATATCTTTGCTTTCATTGACTATCTCAAAATAATTTCCATCTTTTCCATCACGGTAACAGTTTTTGTAACTCTTTTGCATTCTCTCGAATTAGTAGAATTAACCTAATTTCGCTTGAAGCTTACTACTTGATAATATTTTCAGCTAGTGCAAGTCGCACATAAAATGGAGGATTGGAAAAGTTAATCCAACCCACGTTTCACAGAAATTTATGACTATCTCCATCATTGGAATGTACAAGAGTTAATATTTTTAATGAAGATTACATTACCCGCAAAAATGTGCGAGCTCCAACCATACTGACTCTAGTACACAAAAATTCGTGACAAATTAACCCCCTCCCCCAAAAAACAGACGCACATTAAATACTGAGTTTAAATTCTAAATTTCCAATTAATTTAAATCGATATGAATAAATATTTCTTCGTTTATATATTTCTAAGGGTAGTGTTGGGTTCAGCTTTCAAGTTTGTTGCAAAAATTAAGTTTCCAAATTAAAAAGGATAACTTGACGAGAGAATCCACTTATCTGGAGCAATTAAATGAACTGAATGTCAGCAAAAAGTATGAAGAAGGCATATGCGGAAATTCCTATACAGATCTTATTTTTATAAGTCACTGTGTACAGTTTTCCGCAAAGCACTGTAGTTAAAATATTGGAGCTATTATTGGACAATTTTTTTCTTCTTTCAAATGACAATTTAATCATGCCTTCCAGAAAATGTAGCCGCAATAAGCGGATCGAGTTAATCCATGTATTAATCTAAGTTTTGTTTGTCGTCGTCTGCTACAAATTATAGTTCTAACTGAAATTAAATTTGAATTCATTGCAAAATTATGTTTTCTTTCGAAAGTGGAAAGATGTATCTATTGGAATTCAAAACGGAATTTTGTTTAAACTTTGACCCTGCTGCTCTGGAAGTTGAGAAAACAAGACAGTCAATATCTAGTCCAACAAGTTGTGTGTGTGTGTGTGTGTGTGTGTGTTTGGATCTTTAACGTAGATTTGACAATTTGTCATATCGCTACGATGTCTGCAGTGTGCCAGTTTATAGCGATGTCTAACACTAGAACAACTTGCTGCAGATATAGAACATGATGCCCACTCAGTTACAATATTCTAACACCAGGCCAATCAGTCCTAACCTCTTAATGCTGAGCTCCTAGTGAGGCAGCTGTTTTTTTAAAAAGTTTTTGGTCTGCCTCGGCCGGGGTTCGAACCAGCGACCTCACACATCCGAGGCAGACGCTCTAACTACTAGGCCACCGGAGCGGTCTATTACAACTTTGAAACTGTTGGGTTGTGACACGACACAAATGCTGCAAAATCCTGATGTCAGCTTAATTGTCTATTGGATAATGTCGCCCTTGTCAATGCATACCAACATGATTGTTTGTTGTTGGGCTTAACGCCATTTTTCAGCACACGATAGGCTATTCATGGCGGCCAGTATTAATGGTGGAGGAAGAAACCGGGAAATCACCGGAAAGAACCACCGACCCACGAGAAGCTACTGGCATGATTAATGATTAATCCCTTATACCCATAGATATCATTATTTTGCGTTGGCTGAATCTTATGTCCTCAAAGTTTTTAATTATTTATTTGCTATAGTTGATAATAATTGACGTATAGAGCTGTAGCCAGTGCTTCCTTGAGGTCACACATCTGATTGTGATGTTAATACAGGTCAACCACTTTGTGCATTCTGCTTTATGCTTTCAGAAGGGATGTGTCTGTTTATGTTTATTTCATGTGCATATCAGTGCGTACCTGTTTGTTTGGATGTAAACTCACACAGGTACGCAAGACTTATGTATGTATGTATGTATGTATGTATGTATGTATGTATGTATGTATGTATGTATGTATGTATGTATGTATGTATGTATGTATGTATGTATGTATGTATGTATGTATGTATGTATGTATGTATGTATGTATGTATGTACTCACGCACGGACGGACGTATGTACGTATGCATGTATGTTTGTTTGTATGTATGTGCGTGTGTGTTTGCCTTCAGTTAAATGCACTTGCTTTTAAATCGCTATCGCAGCATCCATATTTCGATTGTAGAAAACGCGTAACAAATTATTTCTATGACTTCTTTTGCATGACACCATTATACATTTTAGTTATACTTTTGAGAAAGAATACTTAGTCATGATGACAAAGTAATTACATATCCCCATGCCTCAATATGCATGTTTGTTTATGCAAAAGGGAATATATGATCGTTCTTTCGTAAATGTGACTAGCAAAGGGGGTGTGAGTGTAACTTAACAAAACATTATTCAGCGGTAACTGCATTTATTTGGATATGGGAGGGATACCTTCTCAAATTTATTAAACATTAATACTGAGTCAGAATAAATGAAGAAGCTGTGCAATACAAAATGTAACTACTGTATGAAAAGTCGATCATAGTGAACAAGAGCTAGTAGTTTAAAGTCACATATAAATTCGTATTCCAAATTCTGTCTTATGCATGAATATTCTCATTTTCATATGTTTATATCATCTCATATTTTGGTTTACTTCTTTGCTTTTCTCACACTGGATGCTAGGATTTCTTTTTCTTTTCTTTTTTCATTTTTAAACTAGATACACTCTTTTATGCTGTTATGAATTTCATGCTAGATTTACTGTAGCGATAATACTGAAAAATTGTTATAGCTTCTTTAAAAATCACACACACACATACACACACATACACACACACATACACACACACGCAGACACACACACACACAAAGTTGTAAGGTCTCACAAAAAAATGTAACAAATTTTCCCATCTTTCAAAGATACCTTATCGCATGATTTCTATAAATTTAAGAAAGAACTTGTTTCTCTTAACAATACTAACAACACCTGAAATACTTACAGATGAAACCATAATTCAGGAGATCTGATTTCAAATTAGCTGAAATAATTGTTATATTCCATCGCTTGATACTCTTTTTTTCTAAAATTCGGTAATCACTTTTTCACACTCAATGCTCGCGTTTCTTAACTTCATTCTCACTTTTGTGATTTCGATACTCGAATTTCTTTATTTGATACCCGATTCTCTTTACTCGATACTCTCCTTTCTAAACTTGACACTTGCTTTTCTAAATTAGTTTTGAGTACATCCTCTGATGTCCTTTTAAAGTGGCGCGCATTTTACAGCTTCTCTGTAACTCTGCTTTCATTCAGAGGAAGTCGCCATCTCCTTCGTTATCCAGAGATGCCTACTGTTTGTCTGCATTCTTTGAGTAGGTTAATTTTGTTCTTCCGTTCAGCAATTTTACGTTCTAGATAAAATCTGGATATGTTGCCAATATAGACTGCCACCGTTTAACAGATAAGCTTTTCAACAAGTTTAAACAGCGAGAGGCACGACTTGGTTCGTAAAAAATGCCATTAAAGATGAGATATTGTATGAGAAGACAAAACATAAAAAGCCTTACTTGTTATCTTGACCCCACGCATTTCATTCCATACTTTAATATAGGTTTTACAACAAATGTTACGCATGTTGATGTTAGCTAAATCATTGAACAGCACTACCATCTCCGACTCCTTCTACCTCATAATGATATTCATCCAGCCTTAGAGCAGGTTGCCATGCCATATAAAGCCGTTGTAGCAGGTTGCCATGCCATATAAAGCCGTTGTAGCAGGTTGCCATGCCATATAAAGCCGTTGTAGCAGGTTGCCATGCCATATAAAGCCGTTGTAGCAGGTTGCCATGCCATATAAAGCCGTTGTAGCAGGTTGCCATGCCATATAAAGCCGTTGTAGCAGGTTGCCATGCCATATAAAGCCGTTGTAGCAGGTTGCCATGCCATATAAAGCCGTTGTAGCAGCTATAATTTTCAAGCCATATACCGAATTTCCTAAATAAAGAAATACGTGATTTGATGACCGTCATGAGACCAACTGGGGAATGATACCGAGTTTAACATAAGAAGTTTGGTTATTGATTAAAACCATCAATTAATATTTTACATTCGGAGAGAAAATTGCATTTTTTAAAGGGATTTATTACTAATTGTTGATGAAGTTGAATAAATTATAAATATTATGCAAGGAAATTATTTTTAAACGTGCAATAAAATAAAATAAAAAAATACAGGCTTATATGCAACAGAAAAAATGCATTACAGATTCATAATTGATTTTTGAAATTCTGTATATGATTCCCACGCCTTATTGTGTGTGTGTGTGTGTGTGTGTGTGTGTGTGTGTGTAAGTGTGTGTGTATGATATTCTCCATTCATCTGTCCTTCTTTCGTAACTCTGTCTTAGCTGCATGGAAATTTAACAGATCAGGTATATGATTTGCTTATAATCATCTGCTAGTGTGATATTCCTCTGAGATCCTAGGGAGGAGCAAAATAAAATGTACAAAACTTACAAGAGCAAAGACATTTGTCTTATTTTTATATTAAAACCAAACGATAAGAACATAGTCTCAGATGGAGAACACATTATACATACATACATACATACATACATACATACATACATACATACATACATACATACATACATACATACATACATACATACATGCATGCATGCATGCATGCATGCATGCATGCATGCATGCATGCACGCACGCACGCACGCACGCACGCACGCACGCACGCACGCACACACACACACACACACACACACATACATACATACATACATACATACATACATACATACATACATACATACATACATACATACATACATACATACATACATACATGCACACACACACACACACACACAAATATATATATATATATATATATATATATATATATATATATATATATATATATATATATATATATATGTGTGTGTGTGTGTGTATATATATGTGTGTGTGTGTTTGTGTGTGTGTATATGTGTGTGTGTGTGATGATCAACGTTCTCAGGCTCAGTACGAGAAGAAGATTAAGAGCCATATCAGATTCAAATTCGAAAAGATGACAGTACTTATTTATTCCACGCATGCCCACACTGATCACAGGATTCTTAATCTATTTTATGTCCTTGCTATTGCACGTGTCATGTCGCAAATAGTTTATAGTCTTTACGTCCGAAGCGTGCAAAGTTTCAAGACACTTGATTGACATTTTATTTCCAATTGAACAAACTCATCACATTTCTGTGTGATGAACAAATATTTAAAGGGAATTACTACAGCATCCATAAAACTTAGAAAGTTTTTGATCGTTTGGATTAGTGGCACGCTAAATGACAATGGAATGTTGGTTTTAGTTTTTAGTTTTAAAATTGTCTGTCTGACTATTCGTGATTTTGCGTTTGGGTTCCTTTGTCCTACTAAGTGCACTGTATGACTCACGGTACTAATTCAGTTTCTATCGTAAAGGTATGGAAACATCATGGTATTCAAAATTCAATAACTTTAATTCTTTGACTGCTGATGATAAAAGACCTATACTTATCAGCACAGACTCATCCGTAATGCAAACCTTTGTGCAGGGAAAACCACATGCTCCGCGACATTTGTCTGATCACATGCATGCACTTGAAAATGTATTTTCAATTTTGCATCAAAAGCATCAGATGATAATGTCAGAAATGGGTTTTCCAACTCATATCTGTAAAAGGACTGAAGTTCCTGAGAAAAAACATTCTCTAATTTTTTCTCAGTTATAAATAGAATAAGGATTCAATTAAAAAGACAGCCCAACTAAAATTGTTCTTTTCGTTTACAGTTAATTATGGCAAGGCAACACACACACACACACACACACACACACACACACACACACACACACACACGGCGAGCATACTTTATTTTATCTACACCCATTTCTAGACTGGTCTCCGTTTTTCAATATAATTAGTAGCGCGGGTCTCAGTCAGCCACTATTTTAAAATGTATGTGTCTTGGTGAGATCTTTTGGGCCAACTGATGCTTCCAAGTTTAGTGTTATGTTTTATAATAGGCCAGTTTTGTTATCTTTTCGCTACATTGTTGATATAAGGTTTACGTCGTACATTTCTTTGCTTGGTTTGGAAAATGCTGCCATCCTTATCTACATTGGTCACAGTCCAGTGATTACAGTAAGTTCTGTATCGTCGATTTTGAATAAATGCAAATTTATAGTGTAGAATCTTGTTCAAAGAAAACACTCTGTATTCTTGTTGTTTTTTTTTGTTGTTTTTTTTGTTTTGTTTTGTTTTGTTTGTTTTTTTTACTCATAGTCCTCGCAGGGCCTAAGAGATATGCAGAGAGAATATGTTCGACAAATAAA